AAGAATTAAAACTTTTACTAAAATTGGATTCCCTACTAAAATTGACTTATTACTAAATTTGATTGCATGGATTGCTTAGTCTTTTAAGCGGTCGCCACGCGACTTCCTACTGCGCTGAGTGTTGTTTGTTCGATCCCCACGTGGGACACCACTTTGTGTGATTCACAAATTGTTGTCTGAGTCTGGGTATTCTTTGTGTCCGTTTCATGTATGTTCGTAAAGACCCCCGCTACACAGGGTGTCGGCGCACCAAAACATGTAGCCGATCTCGGTTGCGAACCATCGAAGGCCGGCCGGCGCGGGGAGCGGGGATCGTAGCTCGCCGCCTCGTACGCCGCGGTCCTCTCACTACTCGGCCCTTAGACGCGTTCCGCTACGGGCATTCCTTTATAATATCGTTTTACCAATATCAAATATAATATTTAATACAGTCCATATTTATTTAAAGTCCCTTAACGGCCTATTCACAGGGTATATATTCCTAATTCCGAAGTTGTCTTTTTAAAAAAAAAGGAAACTGTGTCAGATTCTTCGATTCAGATTAAGTTGAATTATGCTACGCACATTTTGTTCTACGATTTGGTTATTATTGCTTCTTTCACTCAAGCAAGAGTTGTGTGAAATAGATGGCAACCATCGTTTTTTTTGTAAATATGCGGAGAACTTGCAAGATTTTTTTTTTGTAAAAAAAGTTATTCTTGAATTTAACAGTTTTAGTACAGATACCATTATAAGATTCTTCATTATAATAATTTACTTCAAATATATTTAAAGCGCAATAAGTAATTTGCAATTTCTTAAATCCCGGGATTAAATCGTGATGTGATGATGAAATCGTTATAATAATATTTATGATTCAGAGATATTAGCGGAGGTATACTCTATGTCACTTACTTCCTCGAATTTTAGGTAAATACGAGTACATAACTCTACCTATTCCGATCGCTGATGATCATATTTCTGATCCTTAATTTTTTTTCAATTCGCTTAAATGACAAATATTAAGTTAGCCTCTTGCTAATTTCAGTTTTTTAAGTGCCAATTATTAAACCTAAGTTATTGCATCAACATCCTTGGTATAAATTTAATGCATTATTTATTACATTTACCGTTAAATTTAAGCTTACTTTATTCTTTTCAAAATAGGATTACTGTTATGAATTTTCCTAATATTGTTAGCGATTTACGTGGTTCATGGGATCTATTATAAGATTCTAAAATATAATCTACGAGTACGTACCTACATGCACCAAAGTCTTTGGTGTGTCACTAAAAAGCTATAATTACGAATGATTTTTTTTCAGTGTAAAAAGTTTAAATTGACTTGGATTTATTTTCTTGGGCTTTTGGCTTTATAGTGACAGCTATTTTGTTTTCGTTTCTGTATCATAATGTATTGTGGCACAAAGATACAAACTTTTTTTGTACAGGAGATTTTGTGTTTATTGGTGCGTAAATGGCAAATGTCGAATCATCAATTCCGTCGACAGATCAGAGAAACTGATTGCTGTGATTTTTACTTGTACATGTTTTATACATCGGGCCTTTAGAAAAGCAAAAGGTAACGTTTAATACGTAAAGGTAACGAAAATTCATAAGTAATATAAAATTTGAGGGTAGTGTTGCAGTGCCACTGTCAACATCGGCTCCGTGCTTTAATCGTCAATTTAAATCTCAATAACACAAGTTACAGTATAATAAATAGTTAAAATCGTGGATAAGTGCTCAATATGTATGGACAAAGTGAAAACAAAAACAATAAACTAGTAAAACAGTGCAAAAAACAGTGATCACAACATTTGAAAAGGATGTGCCATTTTTTTAAATGTTAAAACTATAGACGTTTTGTGAGACTTTATACATCAACGGAACGAAATCAATAAGCATTAGCTTTAGAACTGCGTTATAATACAATTTAGTAAAATACTGACAACATAACCTATAACAAAATGAGTCATTGAATTCAGCATTATCCGTTTTAATAATACTGTACTCGTATAATACTACCTACACTCGAGTAGCCGATCATACTTCCCAATCGCTTCGATTCGTGCAAGAAGTTCCTGCAAGCGAAAATAGAGGACACTACCTGTACCAAAACAAAACAAAGCCAATACATTTTAATTTTTTCTTCTATAAAATGACGCAGGAAATGTTGGAGGTAATAGCGGCTCTTCGCGCGATCCAAAAGGATCTTGATGAACAGAGAAAATTGATAAACAAAACTGCTGAAGAGGTGACAGACAAGGTAACAGTTAACATTAATAAAATAATTGAAGAAAAAATTGTAATCCTCGAAGAAAAGCACGAAAACCTTAAGTTGAGAGTGGATAACCAAGAAAGTAGAATATACTACTTAGAGAAACATGCAAGGCAACGTAACCTAGTATTCTTTGGGCTACAAGAAGATGAAAAATCATACCATAGTATGGAAACCAACATAACAGATTTTATAAATAAATTTCTCCCGATAAAAATAGATTGTACGGACCTAGAAGTCGTAAGAAGAATAGGAAAAAAGACCGAAAAGCCACGACCCGTAGTAGTTACTTTTACAACCCTGGGGAAGAAGATTGGTATCCTTAAAAACAAAGGAGTTCTAAAAGAAACACCATATTATGTAAAAGAGGACTACCCCCCCTCTGTTCTACAAATAAGGAAAGAGCTGCAAGAACGAGTGAATGTCGAAAGGGAAAAGGGTAATAAGGCTATAATTAAATATGACAAGCTTGTCATATTAGAGAACACACCTAAAAATAATAAAAACAAAAAAAGAAGCCTCCCAAACTCGCCGGAAAATGCTCCAAACAATTTTGCCCAGCAAATACCTCATGTATATAAAAAGAACAAAACTGTACCTGCCCTTACAAAGCAAAAGTCTTTGGGTCTGCCCGATAACATTGTAAAACCGGGGATATTAAACTACGTGACTATCAAGAACAATAATAACAACACAAACAAAGAATACAATGCATCCAAATCATAGCAACGAGTACTTCAACCCCTCCCGAAAAAAGCGAAAAACCACAATGAAGAACATACAACAACACACAAAACACATCTCCCAATCCGGCCGGTCACCGTGGGAGGAAGAGACCGAAACCCTCCAGAGACAAATACCTCAAATAAGTTGGAACCTACGTATAATAACCTACTCTATATTGCAACATTCTATGTAAATACATTATCTTTTACCAGAAAAAGAGGAAGACCTATAACCAGATGGTTGCACGATACCACACAAGTAGCAGGCAAAGACTGGCAAACAGAAGCCAATGACCGTGACCACTGGAGTTCTCTCTGGAGGAGGCCTTCACCCTCACAACTTGAGGGGTTCATGCATATTTTATTAGAAACTTTTCTTTAATTTAAAACAATTTCAATTATTAAAACAAGGAAATTTATTTTTTTAATTTTACGCATCTTTAATAAGTAACATTATTATTATAAGAGCAATCAAAAAATATTTATTATTTTAATTTAATCTATTAACAAATCAATTCTATATATTGTTTTCATGATTGTAACTAGTGTAATGCAAAAACAAAAAAAAAAATTGTTAATATCGGATATTTAATGCATGAAATAAAAGGCTTTTTTATTTTTATTTTTATTTTTTATTTTATTTTATTATAAAATTTGAGATGTGACAATAATTGAAATTTTTCTGAAATGTGCATACGTGTGAAAAGGATTTATTGCAGTTTTTTTTTGCCAAAAGTAATATTTAGCGTCAGAAAACAATGAATATATACCTAATGTTAATTTTTAATGTATGGAATATAGGGCAAACGAGCAGAAGGGTGACCTGATGGTAAGTCACTACCACCGCTCATGGACATCTGTAACTCAAGGAACAGTTACAGGTTAAGGTACAGACCTCTAGTAACGTCATTCATTCGGTGAAGAACAACAATGAATTTCTGAAAAGAGGGTTTCGAAGAGAACTTGGTCACTTCGGTCGATCCGGCTTATACATACCAAATCTCGATAATTGTGGTAGAGTCATGGTAACTACATCATTATCATTAGAAAATGTATTTGTCAATTCATTAAATTGTGTTTATTTAAAAAAATATTGCAAATTCTTTTAAGAAGTTTAGTTTACTGTTGAGGAATCATATAAACAGCTTTTAAATAAGTATCATTGACTTTAATGCGCCTAAAACTTAACGAATCTTGAGTACCGGCAATTCATTTTAATAAGAATTATTGAAATTCATGAATTCTGTAAACTTAAATCGGTTCACAGTTGACGTTTTTTTTTAAAGACGACTCCTGCATTAGGAATAGGTATATCCTGTGTCGCGGGGACTTTACAAACATACATGAAACGGACACAAACAACACCCAGACTCAGAACAACAATTTGTGAATCACACAAAGTGTCGTCCCATGTGGGGATGGGACGCACAACACTCAGCGTAGTAGTAAGCGGCGTGGCGACCACTTAAACCACTACGCCATCCGTGCAGTCAAACTTGAGCAGGGATTTGCGACACACAGAAAATAAATTGTCGAATTGCAAACCTCCTCCTCTGTGAAGTAGGTAAAAGAAAATATTTTTAAGCAAGCACCTTTAAATTACCGTTAGTTTTAATAACCGTTAAATTGAATTGCAAAATGTAGCGTAAAGACAGCGAATTAATTAAAAGAAAAATAATAAGATTAAACTGAATAATAATAATATAATGAATAAATATAATATCTATTGTCTCGCCTGTTTATTTTATCTATGTGTTATGATGATGGAAATGTCACTAAGGATTTAATTTTAATTTTGGTAATTTGTAATTTAATTTATTAGTATGGTAATAATGTCAATAATTATATTTTGAATGAATGTGTATTAAGATGCGATGTATTAGTATGGGTTGTGATTGATACCTGAAATAAAAGTATATCTTTTTTTAAAACCCCCTTAAGGGTCCCAGAGTTATAAACCTTCCAAAGTTATGCTAATTCTATTTTTACATTCCTACATTGGTTATTTTTGACAGGTACATGTTAGACCGCAAATCAGCAGTGCACGTGTCAGCCAGAGTCCAAGATCTGTTCTTCATAATGGCCGTCTCCAATTCCTGCATGGATCCTCTTGTCTATGGATCATATATAATTGACCCTAGAATTATGAAGAGGACACTTAGGAAAATATTCTGCTTACATGTTAGTCCATCAGAAATACCGGGTACGTAATTTTTAATACCATCCTACATTTCAATCCTTATAGTTATTTTGTTAACCGTAATACCTTAAACTAAACTAGCTTTATACCGATGATTACATTATTAAGGCATTAAATATATTACAATATAACAGGTAATTGTTTAAAAATTTAACCAATTCAAAACACACTTTCTCTGTTGTAGACGTAGACTGCGACCGCAGTTCAGTAAATATCGAACGGAAATATTCCAGTGCCTTATATATTTACATTAAGTGAATATTATTCAGTCATGTGTTCAAGTCAAATAACATCACATAATGGACAATTATAATCCTTGGGATCTAAGCCAATAGGTAGATTGTTACAAATTAATACAAGGAAATATTTAACCAAGTTATAACAAAAAACAAAAAAACAAGCTACCTAATTCGAATCTGGCTGCATAATTATTTCAAATCTTTCTTAAAATTATAGAATAATATATTTATGGTTAAAAAAGTGAGTTAATATAGCTCGGGCCTAGGGGTTTGGCTGACTGTTTCCCTTGCTTTTGCAGGCCTACACTTGATTGGGGTTAGGCTCCCCGTACTTCACGGTGTACTCAACTGTTTATTAGGCAGCTAAGTCTGTAGCGGCTCTCGGTGGCTTCCTTACTAGGTTATCCTGGGTACTTGCAATAGACTCACTTTACAACACCATGTTGTTTTTACTTCACCATCGGCTCTAGCAAGATGTTGATCCGTGGGGCTTCCATACGACAAAAAAAGGCCTAAAGTACATGTATTAGCCTTAGTTCCAGAGAGCTATTTGAAAGACCATACTATTGAACAGCACTCCGGGGGACATAGATCAAATAACATAACATACGTGCCATAATAAGAAGATGAAACAGTTTTGACAGGAATACTCGTATTATGCCAACGGCGACCAAATAATGTATTTTGTTGAAATATATATTTCTTACATAATATTTATATGATCCAGGACTCACATTCCATGATTATATATAACAGCAAACGTCTGAGTTGTTATCGGGAAAGCGAAAGACTTTACTAGTAATGACGTGGTAAGAACATTGTAGAATTCCTCCGTTCCAGTAACAATGCTTACGCCTGGAATCCCTATGAAACAACATACGTCCTTTTACTAGAGAAGAACGTTCTTACGATTCTTCTAAAGGCAGTCTCAGTAAGAGTGCACTTTTTAAATTTGGATTAATTTATTTTTGTGCAAGTGGCAACTCTGAAATTTGACAGCTGTCACCTATGTTTATTCCGATTATTAAAAATGCGAAAGAACAACGCGTTAGAATTGTGAAAAGTCATTACAAAGGGAAAGATACGCTGAAACCGCTTGTAAACTTCGAAAAATTTTCAGTCTAGAAAGTGTGCCTAATGGGTCAACCATTCGAAGTGGTAAAAAAAATGGAAGAAACTGGAACAATTATGGATATTAAGAATCCTTTGCGTCAATGTATCGGCCTGTCTCTTCAAAACATTGCTGCTGTAAACGAGATGTCACAAAACCTGAAAACATCCATTCGGAATCGTTCTCAACAACTTCAAATTTCAGCGAATTTTGACAAAAGACCATCATCATGGGTACCAGATTCAGCTAACTCAGGAACTCCTACCAGCAGACCAATTCGTTAAATGGATAATAAAGGAAAGTGAAGTCGATGACAATTTTTCGAAAAAAACTCATCTTCTCCGGTAAAACGTATTTTCATTTGAAATTCGAATTTGGGGTTTAGAAAATCCTCATGCAATTCATGAGAAACAAATGCACCTACAACGAGGAACTGTCTGGTGCGGAGTTTGGTCAGGCGGCGTGATTTTTTGAAGATGAGGCCGAAATCGCAGTGACAGTGAACGGCATTCGTTACAGGAATATGACAATAGACTTCTTGTGGCCTCAACTGGACGACATGGATCTGGACAACATATGATTTGCCGCCATGAAACAATCGATTAATTGCAGCAACGATTTCTAGAACATATTGTCTCACGATGTCAACTGGCCACCAAGATCGTGCGATTTTTTTCTTTGGGGTTTTGTGAAATCTCGGGTTTATGTGAATAAATCAAAAACAATACCTAAACTAAAATCAGAGATCCAACGTAACCGGTAAGATACACATCTTTTTGTAAAAGTCATGGAAAATTTCATGAAAAGAGTAATGGCCTGTTATCAGAGCCGTGGGGGCCATTTGCCGGATATTTTATTCCATACTTAATCGGAACATGCCTTCTTTACAATCCAATAAAAATATCACAACTCTTTCAAAAATATGTGTTTTTATGAAAATAATAATAAATAATAATGAAAAAGTGTACTCTTCCTGAGACACCCTTTACTAGAGGAAAAGTGGATACTATCCTTTCATGAACCCTACTTTATAGGATATCACTCATTAAGTGTGAGGAGAATGCATCATCAGTTCAGAAGAGTGTGCAAAGTTTTCTTAGAAGAAAACTGCAGCTCCTAAGATTCACCCAGAATTATGTCGTTTGTTTGTGCCCAAGAACTACCAGCGTGGTAGAAGTTATATACTATTTGTACCACCAACATATCTAAAGAAAGCACATTACAATTCACCCATTCTTCAGGCAATTTCATCACTTAACGCTCTTGGACTCAAATCCAGACTGTGACTTGTTTGCGGATGGATGGGAGACGATTGTGACAGGGTGTTAGAAATGTAGTTTTATAATTATTGCATATAGATAAAGTTATTGTATAGTATTATTTTATATTAACGTTTCTCTCTTAATCAGTATAAGCGACCAGACACCGTTGATTTAAAATAAATAAATAAAATTGGCATCCTAAAGTAGCTTTTATGATCATATTGATGGTTCGTTATGCTTATTGTGTTACGACCGAATTTTGTGTGTCGACCTAAACGTGTATGTAATAAGTATATTTATCGGTATTGTAGTTACTATGGCTATACCATAGTAACTACAATGCTGATAAATCTGCCTAGTTCTAGATAAGAAGGACGTATGAGGTTCATATGAAAATATTTTTTGGTATTGTTTATTTAGTATCGATATGATACCGATACTAAAAACAAATTAAAAAGACTGATAAGCCTTTATTTCTATTGAGTAGTAATAGATTAAAGTAATCAAATTTGAAGGACGTAAATTAAATTACGTGTTTTTAAGCATGTTTTGTTTGTGTCGTTTGATTCACCGGTAGTTGTGTTGTAATTTTTATTTTTCAAACGTTTAATGTACTTCTTATTTCATCAACAGCCCATACTAGTCCACTGCTGGACATAGGCCTCTCCTTAGAAAGGAGGTTTTACTTCTTATATGCTAAACTTATTTATTTTTGTAATTACAGCTATGAAAATCTATGTCATGCTATTAATTACGTAAAAATTTAGTATGTTATGAGTTGATAATAGATTTTTTCCTGCAGGTATCAATGAGCCCGACGTCAAAACCAAAGTGAGCATACGTCATACAAGCAGAGATACATCACAATTAGAAAATGTAAGTCTAAATAATTAAGTTACTATTGTGATTGTGTATTTGCTTGGTGTGCTGCAAATAAATTCTAATAAAAAAAAAGTTAATACCAACCTAAAAACCTTCGTTTTCCATGATATTTAATTATTCCTAACGAAGGAGAATTAATGCAATTAATATATTTGAATTGCCTGACGGTTTGATCAGGTTGCAGTAGCTGAGGTAACAGTTAGACAGCTATCTACGGTCAAGGCACGACACGCAAACACATACCTCACACGTATTAATCGCGGTAATACAAGGGTATTATTCGTTAGTAATAAGGAATAACTTTTTTAGAGGTTGGGTGCCGCGGCAGAAAACATCGTCATCCGGGGGGAGGGGTCGCACGGATGAGAAGGGTGGCTGGCTGCACGCGGCATTGCAGGCGGGCACTCAAACACCTATAGGACTGCCTTGTCTATCGTTTTAATTAGTAGGATATTTAAGTGTTGTAATAAAAAATTACACGCATTATTACCGAATCAGATTAAAGACTAAAAAGTTTCACCTCATGTTGGCCTCATCATAGCGAAGTTATCAGTGTCCTACTTCTTTTTTTTTTTTTTTCCGTGCGGAAATCCCCTCGGATACCACCTGTCGGTGGCATGTCGGACTCGAACCGACTAAAACCGCTCGCCGTCTCGGGTACTAATAGCCGGGGAACCAGGTATACCCTAGAAAGGAAGTCCATGGTGCCCCGACATACCTCGGGTCATCTACAGACGAGTAGACGACCCCCCCCCCCCCCCCCGTGTGGGAACCCCATGTTCCCTGTGCTCCCTGGAAGCGAGCGCGCTTCGCAACGCCTGCCTGCTTCTGCTAGGGTGACAGATGGCCTCACCTGTCACCCCCAGGCCTGCGCTTATGGAGGACGGAGGTCGTTCTGCGACCTCCGGCGCCTGAGTCACCTGCGGTACCTGGCCCGTTCCCGGGCCTGGCGGGCCCGGAGAGTCCTAAACCTCTCCCGGTCCCGCTCCGCCGTCTCCTTCGCGAGCATAACTTGCTCGGCAGAGTTCCAGTGTCCTACCTCTATCATTAACTCATTTCCAAGATGTAAAATTATAGTATTGTCATCCAAATTACATATACTTACATATTATTATGCTTTTAGCTTTTATTTCGGTACTACTAAAAGTGAGTAAAAGCCAATTAAAGCGTTTTAAAATCAAAAAAGAAACAAAAAATAATACAGAGGATTTGATAACTCCCTCTTTTGTGTTTTTGAAATCGGTAAAAAATATTTCCTTTACAAAAATGCAAAATGTATTCGAAATCCCATTTTCAAATATTTTTAAAACAAATATTTATAGTTACAATGGAAGTATTTAGATGAAAAACTTTATTGAATAAACAGTTTGTAGTCATAAAATTGTATTATATTTCATATGGTATTGATCAAAGGTGTGCAATTGTAGGTTAACATCTGCGTAGAGCATTCGACTGCCACGTCAGGCGCCGCGGGTTCTTTTCTCGCTCAGTGCAAACATTTGGATACATGATATCTATTTCAATTGGGTGTTTCTATGTAAAAAACCTATAAATGTATATGAGTATTTATGAAAAGAACTGGCAAATAGTTGAAAAAGTATTTTCGTCTGAAAATACCTTTTCTGGTGTAGTTGCATATCTTTACACATAAATATTTTGTATTTTGAATTATAATGGATTTTTATTTTGTTTTTTAAGTATACAAAAATATTCTCTAAAGGTTCTACCCAAAACCGTGTCATGAAATACTCTTTAGCTTTCCTGCCTGCGTCGGTGGTGCAGTGGTAGCGTATGCGACTGCTGTGATTTGGTCTCGGGTTGGATTACCGGGTCGGACCAAATGTTTGTGGGTATGATCTGCAAATATTTTTTCGGAGCTTTTTTTTTATGTTAGAGGGGGCAGACGAGCAGACGGGTCACCTGATGGAAAGTGATTATAGTCGCCCATGAACGTCTGCAACTCAGGAGTCACAAACGCGTTGCCAGCCTTTTAGGAAGGAGTAAGACAATAGTCAAGATATAGATATACCTACTCAAGATTTTAAATAAAAATTGCTATGAAAGGCCACCAACAAAAAAAGAGCTTATTTTTTAGGGATTTGCAGAGATACATTTTCAGATAGTTGTACTTATAAAAAAATAAACCAAACATATGTTGCTGCGCTTGCTTACGGCGGCAAAGTTCGCCTGTCAGAGCTCGCTGAGCCTTGTTTGAGTTAGGACGCACGTCATTTTGCTCCTTGACATTTCCCCGCTTAGAAACGAAAATTGTTGATTGAAAAGTGGTAAGTAATGTCTTCAGATTGTGTTTTTTTTTATGTTAGAGGGGGCAGACGAGCAGATGGGTCACCTGATGGAAAGTGACCATCGCCGCCCATGAACGTCTGCAACTCAGGAGTCACAAACGCGTTGTCGGCCCTTTAGGAAGGAGTACGCTCTTTTCTTGAAGGTTTGAAGGTCGTATCGGTCCGGAAATACCGCAGATGATAACCCGTTCCACAGATTGGTTGTGCGGGGCAAAAATTGACTCGAAAAGCGCACAGTAGTGGAGCGCCAACTATCCAGGTAAATAGGATGAAAATTTTGCCGTGTGGAACGATGGCGGATATGTGAGGCTGGTATTAGTCCGAACAATTCCTCGGAGCACTTTCCATATCAATATTAATAATTTGTACTCCATTACATTTTTATATTACGTACTGTTATTTTAAGTTGGGTTTATAAAAAAAAAGTTCTAATTTACAAACCCGTCAGTTTCACCAGAGACCCTAGAGAAATCAATTTCTGTTGATCATAATACTACGTTAGTTATATATATGAACTATTGAGCTAATGTTGAAAATGTGGTGTAGCTACCGCATCTAGATGCAGGTATCGCTAAAAAAAAACTCAGGATATTTTCTAAATTTTTTCCGCTTAATACTCGTAAGTATACCGTTAATACTAATGTTACCGGTAATTTATTCTTTTCTGAGTAGGTTTGGTTACGGTTGCTCTCGCTCATGATGAATTTTGGTATCATCTCACAAGTCCTTTGGCAAAATTTTGAATAACAGTTCCTGTTACCTTTTTAATAGTTCTGCTTATACACAACTAATGTGATTACCAGTCATAGATACTGAGGAGATTAATAAAATTTACCTTTCATCGAAATATAATGCAAATTGTAAGGATTCGAATTAAAAACCTAACCGTTTTTTCTGAATTAATTTTCATTCTTCTCACAACAGCGTCGAATAAAAGAGTATTGAAAAAATATTGCGGTCTTTCCTCCAGGGACGATGTGTGTGATAAATCGTCTCTAGTGATATTATAAACTTTATAAAAGAGCTGTAAAATTTTCGCTATAAAATGAATATAAAATACAATGAATGATATTTCTGAAATAGTAATGTTTAATTTGGGTTTTATATGACCTTTTATTGCAATTCGTATATACATAGCTACGAGAAATCCAGATGTTTAAAAAAGGTTTCCAAATCTCCAGTGTTTTTGTTGATCCGATACCTCACCCTACTGAAAATTCCAGTGGGTTGACGGCTTAAGAGGGCCAAATACCTTTTTTGCATGTTACACATACATGCAAAAATGGTAGTTTCCTTTGGTTAACATACGAGTATGTTGTTTTTAAGTATGACATGACTCTACGAATTTACGTTAATGTTTTCCAAGTATTTTTTTAAATTATTAAACTAAACACTAAATGTTTTAATTTTACAGGAAAACGTAACGTGGTTTTTAACATAGTATTAATAATAATAACATTAACTTGACAAACCTCACAGACGGCTGTCTGATGCCAAATAACTAAACAGCCTGTATTATAGTAAGCAGGCCGCTGACACATATATATTTTCAACCGACTTCAAAAACACAAAAGAGGAGGTTAGGTATCATTTCGGCGGTATATTTTTTTTTTTTGCGAGTTGATTTCTTTGATAGTTAATTCATATGGTAGAACAATATTTGCCGGGTCCGCTAGTATAACAACTTTAATAGCATGAAGAACATTAAAAATCAAAGGTATCATGCCATAGATAATCACAAAAAAACTGGAAATGACTAACCTTCAACAGAATACAGCAATGGAATATAAGGTGAAAAAGCATAAATTTATCTCGTTCATTTATAAAAGATCACCATAAAAATGTCTAAACTGAATAGGTATTATAAGGAAAAAGCCTGTGAAAAGTGTGATAGGAAGTCAATGTTGAATTTAATTATAATTACCTGAAATGATACTGAATGATTCAGAAAAGGTGATACGATATACCTACGGCAGATAAATTGCATCAATTTTATATATGGTAACATCGCATTTTGGGATATATGAGAACATTGTTTGATAAATTGGGTTAAGACTCCGTGAAGATAATAATATATTTTGTATGAAGTATTTCTTTATTTTGGTACTGCATAATAAGATGTTCTTTTCTAACAGGAAAAAGAAACGTCCTCTTTTATTATAGTAAAGACATAATGTAATATTCTTATAGCGATCACTTTTGCTACGAAAACTTTTAGTACCAGAATAGTTATTACTTTTAATACAGAAATTATTATTCAACAGATATTGTTTTTTACCGCATTTACTTCTTGTAACTAGATTTTTTTAAACTGTGTAATTGGTAAAACACTTCAAGGTGTTTCGTTCCTTTTACACGCTCGTTTAATCATATGAGAGCCAGGCTTCCGCTTTTAATGTCGTTACGACTTTGCGATACTTCGGTCTCAAATAAAACTTGTGCTCTTCCGTTACTTTTCAAAGAGTTAGTGAAGTTACCGGAGGAAAAGCCTCGCTTCCTAATACTGAGCATCAAAAGATTCAAAAGCACAAGCCCGTTGCCGTCCTTTACTTGTGATTTTGAATTTGGTATATGTACGGATGACGGATGTCACTTACCAATGCGTGGCCATTAAATTACGAGTTAATGGAACAATTTTAAGGTGTAATTTTTTTCTGCCTGATTACCTACTTACTTTTTATTAGTTAT